TGGGAAAAACCATTGTGGGCCACCAGACAGACGGTCCGGGGCTTGACTATTGATGAATTCGATGACAATGTTGATGGGGCTCCCGTCAAATTTGTTTGCTTTTCACAATTGTTCGGTAGCTCAATGTCCAATAAAATCTGGCCTATGGATAAAAAACACGTGACTGGAATCACGCGGACGAGAGAGAATAAGGGGCCATGTGACATTCTAGATCCTACATAGAAGGTCGGTTATTAGTACATGGGCTTGATCTCTCCCCATCTTCTGTAATTTGCTGCCTCCAGAAGGCTTTCAGCTTTGCAGATGACGACAAGGATGAGGGTCAGCACGTCGCCTTCCGCGTAATGGGAAAAGTCGGGCTCCTTACTGAAGAACCGCCTGAAAATTTCTGGCAGGTTAAACTTCACTTTGACATACCCCGGCTTTCCTCTCCCTTGACCATGAAGGGATCGGAAGGCTTGGAGTGAGTCCATACACAGGATGGCGCTGGACAAGTCGTGCTGCTGTTGCAGAAGCTCAGTCTTCAGTAGGGGAAAGTCGTAGTCAAAGCCATTGTGGGCCACCAGGCAGACCGGCTGGGCCTGGCGATTTATAAATTCGATGACGGTGTTGATGAGGCAGTCGTCGAATTTCTTCTTCTCGCAGTCGCTCAGCTGCTCGTTGTCCAGGCCGGTGATCTCGGAGGCTTCCTTAGTAAGGGGCTTGTCCGGGTCCACGCAAAGGCAAAGCTTGTCCATCACCCGAGGTAGCTGCGTCTCCCCCGAGTCATCGGTCGCTGGATTCTTCAGTGAGGACACATGGACGGCCACCAGACACAACTCTGTGATTTTGGGAAGGTCTCCGTGTAGACCAGTAGCTTCCAGGTCTAGGAAAATGAAGGTTTTCACCGAGCTGGCCATCGCTGAGTCCTGTAGGACAAATTTTTTACAAAATTAATACAATTGGAAGCACGAGGGTACTCAATAAGGTGCATCAGCTGAACGGTGGCCCCCAGCTTTATTGTGGGGGGGCATTTCTTTATGAGCCATGGGCTCCTTGAATTAAAATAAATAACAAAATGTTGCCTTGGTAACTGCTGTAGCAGCACTACTTCCTGTTAAGGAGACTGGCCACCTGAGTTGGCTAGCTGGGTGACTGGTCTCCCCAATGCCACCCGAGCTATGTCACGTAGGATGCCCTGCAGACTTCTCCCTGAGCCAACCGAAGGCATTGATCATGGGGGCCAGGAGAAGGTACCACCTGAACTACAGTGAGGGATTTCTCTGGACAGGAGAGGTGGGGTTCCCAAATGATATTCCTGGGGTACCTGCAGGGCCGGTGCTGCCACAAGGCAAACTAGGCGGCCGCCTAGGGCGCACTGCTGTCTAGGGCGCACTGCTAACTAGGGCGCACTGCTTACTAGGGCGCAGCCAGGTGGGCGGGGTTTCAATAGCCGGCCTGCTATTGGCTATTTATTTTCCTTCTAAAGCAGCCACCGCCTGAGCAGAAGAGCCCGCCCCTTGCCCGCAGCAGCTGCTGAGAAGGATCCTTGCTCTCTGTGGGCAAGCAGTGGTATCTATGAAGAGGTCCAACACACCGCCTGCTGAGTCAGAGACCAATAGCTCTGCGCCTAGAGATTGCCGATTGCTTTGACTCAACAGGGGCGTGTCAGACCCCTGCAGGGAGACCACTGCTTCCACACCAAGGGTCCTTCCCTACAGCATGCTGGCGGGGGACAGTCGTTTCTAGTCAAGTTGTAGCTGCTTTGGACAGATAATGAGCTGACGGACTTTGAGTCATCTGTTGTGTTGCTGCGCCTGGAATATCTTTAACTCATTTAACTGAACCGAAAGTTCGATTCATCTCTCAAATCTTTAACAAGTCAATAACCCCGCCCCCGAAAATTGTTGTCGTACGCCTTCATATACAAGTTGTCACGCCATAAAAGTCCTGTGACTGGTTTCGTTATGTTGATAATGGGTTTCGGGAGCCTAGTTACAATAACGGATACAAAGGAGTAAACAAGCATGAGCAAGTTTGACGGGGCCGCCCATGTGCGCTCTAATCTCCATTCAATCCTATGGGGTTTTGTAGGCAGTGCGTTGCGGTCCGATTCTGGCCTCGCATTGCGGCCGGCTCACTTTTTAGCCGGGGTGCAGGGGGCGTGGCGGGCCATTGAAGTGAAGGGCACCTTAGCCACGCCCTCCGGCCGCAATGCGATCGCCCGCATGGGATCGCAGGGCACATTGTGCCCGCAGTGCGATCACAATAGTACTTGCGGCAGTGTAATGTATACTGTATGTGTATGCAGTAAACTCCCTGTTATCCGGCATCCACGGGGATTGGTAGATTCCGGACAAATGTAGTTTCTGGTTGCTTGAGACTTACTATTAGAAA